TGGCAGTGTCCCATATAAAGTAGAGGAAGATGGGCAAGGATGTTAGCTTAGGGCCACTCTTCCTCAGGGGAAAAAAAAGGGAAGATTGGCATCGGATGTTAGCTCAGGGCTAGTCCTCCTCACACAAAAAAAAACAAAAACAAAAACTATGACTGGCCCAAATGCGAGCAGGAGGGGGCAGGTTGGTGGAATTGTGTTTGATAGTCGTACGCCAACAAGAATCTAAAGAATGGGAGACGGACAGTTTTCCAAAGCAGAAGCAGGATGTTGTCGCTAGACAGGGGAAAGGATACTGGCAGTAAAAAAAATGAAAGCTAATGGGTATAAAGTTTAGGTTATGCAAGATGAATAGATTCTAGAGATCTGTACAACATAGTGCCTATAGTTAACAATACTGTATTGTACACTTGAAATCTTGTTAAGAGGGTAGATCTCATATTAACTGTTCTTACCACAGACATACACATACAAAAGCTGTTCACTACACACCAAAACACTAGCTGTCCTTCTCTCACTCTGCTCCCAAACCTCAGAGGCCAGAGGAAGCAAGGGTTAGCTAAAGATGAAGCCAAATTTCTGCAATCTTACTACACAATAACTAAAAATATCAAATGTGTTTAAAGTAAAATTTCCTTGTTTGGATCTGAAATCCAAAACATTTAATAACAATTACAGAAGAAGAAATCAAATGGTCCCCTTGATGCTTTATGTGTATAACTCTGTGCTGCCTTTTAATGCAGTGTATTATGGAGGTTTCCAAATACATGTTCTGTACAGAGACCTGGTCACCTTGGATGGGGGTAGTCTTTTCCAGCATTAATCACTTGGGGAAAAGGAGGATTTGCAGGACTCAGGAAAGGTATCAAAGGTTCTTTCTCATGACCGATTATCTGGATTTAGAGGAAATCTGTCTCTAGCAGTGTAGGAAATGAATTGGAGCAGGTCAAGACTAGAGATGACTTGAGGCAGGGAGACCAGTGGCATTGCAGGTGATATTGTAGCAGTCTACAGTAAAATTGATGACAGCCTGCTCTAGAGTAAAAGAGACAGAGAGATGAGGTCATTGGAGAATTGAAAAATATATGTTTTTTGGACTAGGTAATAAATTCCCATGGTTCAAACACCCTCTCACCCTTTACCTTATGACCTAGTCTCCATCCCCCCAATAGGTAACCATGTCATTTCATATCTGTCCTTGCAGAGTTTTTGTCAACACACATAAAGTCAATGCATTAGATATATTATTTTGTTCCCTTCTTACTCTACACAAATGACAGCACACTAGATATACTTTTCTGCACCTTGTTTTTGCAACTTATTCTGGAGATATCAGTATAACTTATCTGGGAGATAGTGTGTGAAGAGTTTCCTCACGTTTATTATGGCTACATAGCATTATATGGTATAGATGCACACTACAGATTTCACCAGGCCCCTATTGATGGACATTTAGTTTCTAGTCGAATAATGCTGCAAGCTTATCCATAAGTCATTTTGTCTGCATGCAAATAACTGTAGGGTATGTTGCTACAAGTGAAAATGCTGGGTCAGAGGACATATGCATTTCTAACTACGACTGATATTGTTAAATTGTCCTACATAAGGACTGTACCAATTTACACCACCAACAAACTTTAGCATGCATCAGAATTAACTGGAGGTCTTGTTAAAACAGATTGGTGGGGCCAGGTCCAGAGTCTCTGATTCAGGAGCTCTGATGTGGGACCCAAGAATTTGCCTTTCTAACAAGTTCCCAGGTGTTGCTGCTGGCCCAGGAACGAGACTGAAAACCACTGCAATAGATCGATTTGGCTTCCACCACTTTATGGAACTGTTCTCTCAAAGTCAGCAATGTCCTCTTCAATTCTGTGGTCTTTTCTCCATCTCCATTTTCCTTGACTCTTCTGCTATATTCTAAATGTTTTCCTTTTTTTTAAATCTTCTATTCCTATTTGATTCTGAGTTCTTTCATTTTAATTTAATTTCATTTTAATAACAAATTTAGTCTATGCTTTTGTACTTGAAAGTCAGTTTTGCTAGATACAAAGCCCTTGGTTCTCATTTTCTTTCTTTGAATATTTTAAATGTTTCACCATTTTCTCCTTGCATAAAGTGTTAATGTTGAAGTCTTATGATAATCCAATTTTCTTTCTCTCACAAATTACTTTTTTGGCATAAATGACCACTTTTCAAAATGTAAAGTCTAGTAATTTTACTAGAATACACCTTGTAGTTCATTCTCAATGTTTTCAGGTACACAGTATGCTCTTTCAATATGAGGTTTCAAATATATATATATATATGTCAATATATACAAATAGAATGTATATATTTCTATTGCAGGAAAAGTTTTCTAGAATTACAATGTGTTGTATTCTGTGAGCTGACTTTGGTTTTTTTTATCAGGGACTCTTTATCTATATGTTGGCTCTTTTTTGCCTATCTTCAATATTTATCATTTCTCTCAAATCATTTCTCTTTCTATATTTCTTTTTGACTTAAAAAAAATCTTATTTTCAAGTACTAGGTCTCTTTGGGCACTATCTCTTGTGTTTACTCCTGTATTCTTTCTAGTTTAGTATTCTTTTCTCAGATCATTTTGTCTTTTATTTCTAATTCTTTCCCAAGTTCTGTTACTTCAGTTCTTAGTTTTTCTTATTCTGATTTATTTTGTTCTTTAATGTCTTATATCATTTTCAAACTGATTTTTTTTGGCATTGACACTGTGCAAGTTTTGTATTTGTGGTTTGACCCCACCCTCTTGTATTTTGGGGTTTGTGGAGTTATCTGTCATCCAGTTTTATTGTAAACGCTGTTCCATGCATTTTTGGTTTCACTATCTAGTCTGTTTTTACTTGGGGATTCATGGAGATTCAAAACTCATGTACCATCACCTTTCCAGAACCCATTTATATTTTTGACTCATGAATACTTCTCTTTCTATACCCCTGAGACTTCAGTCCTTAGCTGAGTGTGATGGGAAGGGGCTAGGGTTGATCAGGATGGTGTTTCTATTGGTAGTGGTGCATTACATCACATCCTCATTCTTCAGTGATGATCTACTAGGTTGTAACATTCTGGGTTGTTGATAGTTTCCCCTCAGCACTATATATATTCCACTCTCTTTAGCATATATTTTTACTTTTGAAAATCTGGCTTCCAGTCTAAATGTCATTTCTTTGTAAGTTATGTTTTAACTGCTGCTATTAAGATCATTAAAATTTTCTCTTTGCTTAAATTCATGATGTATATATAGTTTTCTCAAAACTTGATGTGCTTCTTCAATTTGAAGAGTCATCTTTCTTCAATTCTAGAAAATTATTGGCCATTATTTCTTCTTCTCTCTTTTGGAATGCCTATTATATGGACTGTTGAACCTTCTTATACTATGTAGAACCTCTGAACTTGTTGGTTATATATGGCAAAAAAATTTATTTTTTGCTTAAGTCAGGTAGAATTACATATTTTTATCACTGAAACAGAAACAGTGTTTCTTCTTACTTTTCTCAAAAGCGAAGTCAGAGAAAAAGAAGTGACTCCTAAAGCTATCATTTGATTATCTGTAACTAGATATCCTTGAAACCTAAACTACTCTTGAACTTTTTAGTTGTGCATGTCAATAAATGCACATTTTTTTCTCTCTTAAATCAGTTATAATTGGATTTCTGACAACTGCAACCAAAGAGTGTTGATTAACATAAATGTCTACAATGTGGGTGGCACTGTGCCAGGTGCTACATAATCAGTGGTACTCAAAACAAAGTCCATGTCTCCAAAACCACAATATTGCACACTCATTCCCCCCCATCTTCATTTCTTTGTTCCTGCTTCTCTGCCTCCCTCACCCAAACTTGGGGTGCTTGTTTGTTTAAACGTTACAGCTTCCTCACAGTTGACTTGAAAACCAAATATGTAGGAGTAACCTTTCCAGCTATAGGTCACCATGATTTTTCCCTTATTTTGGACTCATTATACTAATAGCCTATTAAATAGGTCTTAAAGTGTTTCATGAAAGTTCTTCTCCATAGTTTCTTAAAGGCAAAAGTTACACCTTTTACTTTTGTATCTTCCAGGACAAAGTCCAGAACGATTCTGGGCATCATTAATAACAAGTATACCCATAGCACTCGGCCCTTGTAGTTCTTCTGTATGATACTGGGGATACAAACACATACTCCTCTCACTTAATCAACTTAAGGACATAAGAAAGTATATTAAACTATAAATATATAAGGTGCCATTTATAGTTCTGAGAAAGGGGAAATCATGCCTGGGCTAGGGTACTCAGGGAAGGCTCCAAAGCCCTGGACTAGGACCGGGGCCTGACCTTAACACAGAATAAAAAGGCACCAAACGTTGAGACAATGGGTTTGAGAAAATGCAGTTTTACTGGAGTAGCAGGTTTGTGTCTACAGTAGTGGAAAGATTTTTACGGACACAGGTTAGCTCCAGGATAAGGGCAGCATCTAGCTCTTAAATCAGCATAATCCCTCTTCCCTTCTCTTACAATGAAAATCTCTGTAGCTGAGCCATACTACCTTGATATACGCCCCAATTTAGTTTGGCTATTAATTTCTTATCCTCTAAGGGGACACCTCTTGTACCACCTTCTCGAGTACAAATGGCCAAGGACTAGTTAATTGGAACGAATGAGGTGGAAATGAGCAACAAGCCCTGTGGCTAGAGACTAAAATCGCCGCGGTTCCGTAATAGAAAAGGCGGCGCGGACTTCTGGGACCTCTCTCGGAAATCCTCTTCCTCTGTCAGCTGTTTCTGCCGGGACAGCCCGAGTCCACAACCCGCGGGATCATCTGGAGAAGCCCTGAGCCTTAGACGTCACTAAAATCGTCAGAGGCGGCGGGGGCGGGAGTGGGCCGCGCTGAGTGACGGTCGGAGCTCAAGAGCCCCAGACTCCCAAAGGGCCAGACCACGGCCTCCACGGCCCGCGCCAGGCCACGCAGCGCCCACTCCACGCCCCGCCCCCGCCGGCGTCGCCGCTGAGGGGCGGGGCTTCCGCTTCCGGTGGTGGATTGTTGACGCCTGCGGCTGCTGCGGTGGCGACCGGGGCGTTGGGGAGGGGCCAGTGGGGCAGGAAGACAGCGCCGTGACAGGACCGCCGAGGGTGCCGCTGAGGCGACCATGGCAGAGGGGCCAGAGGAAGCCCGAGGCCGCCCTCCCGGGCAGGACGACGGCGGAGGGGACCGCGAGCCCGTCCCTTCCCTGAAAGGCCCTCCTGCCGCCGCCGCCTCACGGCCCCGGGAGGATCCGCAGGCCGAACCCCAGGCCCCGGGCCGGCCCCCAAGCCTGGGCCTCGCGCTCGCTGCGGCCGCCACCGAGGAGCGGGAGCCGCCGCGCGAGCCCGGGAAGCGCGAGGAGGCGGCCTCCGGCTCGGGTGCGGGGCCGCAGGAGCCGGCGGGGTGCGAGGCGCCAGAGGCCGCGGCGCCACGGGAGAGGCCGGCGCGGCTGAGCGCCCGAGAGTACTCCCGGCAGGTACACGAGTGGCTGTGGCAGTCCTACTGCGGCTACCTGACCTGGCACAGCGGCCTGGCCGCCTTCCCCGCCTACTGCAGCCCCCAGCCGCCCACGCCGACCTACCTCTCGGGCGCCGGCGCCGCCCCCCAGGCCGCGCCGCCCCCCCAGCTGGCCTATTACAGCCCCTTCTACTTCCTGAGCGCCGCGGCTGCCGGGCCTGAGCCGGGGGCGGCTCCCGGCGTCACCACCCCCGCCCCCGTCGCCGGCCTCGGACCCCGGGCTCCTCACGTGCAGGGATCCGTCCGGGCAGCCCCAGTGACGAGGGTAGGATCCGCCGGCCCTTCGCGAACCCCGAGCGAGACCGGGCGGCAGGCAGGTGAGAAGCGCTAGGGAGAGGTTGGGCGGAGCAGCAGGGTCTGCAGGGAACTATCGGGGGGTTGGAGGTGGAGGGGCTGGGGGGGATCAAGGCACGCTTTTTACATCTGTTAACTGCTGCTGCTACCCGGATTGGAGTTTCTCCGCGTTCGGCCGCTATCATTAGCCCAGGCCCTAAATTCCCGAAGTGTACAACGAAGCTGTACAGTTTCTACCTTTAGACCTGGCCCTCCGAATTGATTCCCTTACTCCTGGGACTAGTCGTTTCCAAGTGTAAAGCAATCTTTGCTCCTCAAACCGCCCTCTTACCCTGATCTCCACGTTCTGGAGAGTGAGAGCCAAAGCTTAATTCTCAGATGGCAAACCCACTTTGTGGGGACGCGGGTTTTTGACTGGTAATGCTGTTAATGCAGACATGGATTTATTATATATTGTCTATATATTGTAAGATATATGATATGGATAGTATATAATATGTAATTAATATAATATATGTTACCTGTATATTAGGGACAGTGGGACTGACGGATATAAAAGATTTACATGACTACCAATGGAGTTATAAACCTTTGACCGGGCCCTGGCTTAATCTTGTCTATTGTCTGTTTACTTCTATATGGGAATTAGAATATTTGGAATTATTTGCACTTTTTAGTTTATTATTTAGACTTTATTTTATTCAGCCCATAGATACATGGGACAAGAACTAGTTGATGCTTGAATGAGATCCCATTTAGAATTTAAGATGACAGATTCATAATCGTTGGATTTATTGCATAGAAAGCAAGACAAATGAAACGAATAGGGGGTAATATGAGGAACAAAGGGATTTACTTTGTATTAATTGTCTATACTTAACCTTGATTTTTAGTAAAAAAAGTTTAATTTTGTGTCATAGGCTGTGATCACCTGGATTCTCCTTGTTGGAGTCTGTAGTGAAATGTATTGAGTACCTTAAATAATTAAATTTATCTGTGAAATCATTTTTAAACATTAAGGGTGTGAATGCAAACTTGAAACTGTTCAGTAAATAGTGAAGTAGTGTTGCTATATTTTAATAACATGCACTATTGATGGAGTCAATACCAGTAATTGTTGCAAGGTTACAAATTTTTTTTTATGACTAAGTTGCACCTTGGCTTTATGTTCCCCATTTTATTACCTGGCTAGTGTTCCAAGGCCTCTGTGAAATTAGTAGTTTTCCTAATTTTTCTTTCTTTCTTTCTTTTTTTTTTTTTTTTTACAGGCAGAGAGTATGTTATTCCATCCTTGGCCCACAGATTTATGGCAGAGATGGTGGATTTCTTTATTCTCTTCTTTATAAAAGCAACCATTGTCTTAAGCATAATGCACCTCAGTGGAATAAAGTAAGTTAAGGCCATTTGCAGAAAGGTTTTAATATCTACTGTCTAGAGATCTTGCTTTAAGTTCTATTCATGCCTGGAAATGACTGGATAATCTGTGTGCCAATGTCAATGTCATGAGTTTTGTATAGGAGCTTTGTCATATGTTTTTTTCTTGTTGGTTTTAAGAAATAACTACAAAAAAGAGAAAAACACTTCATAAATTCTGCAAGATCTGTGGGAATTTCCCCTGTCAAAAGTAGGTAAAAGAAGCCTTCAAACTTGGTTTGATTTTATTCACTAATTTCTGAGGTCAAGAACTACTGTCCCTGTGCAGAGTGGAGGATCTAAAGACAAAGGCATAGAGAGTTTTTGGTAGATGAGCTGTTAGTAATCATCTAGATGGCTTTTCCAAATGGGATTGCTTATAGGATCAGGCAAGTCCCAAGTGAACTGCAAAGTGAGCCATTTATTTGAATAATCCTCCTTTCAGATTAATAATCATAAGAGCGGTTATCAGTTGCTAAGTACTTTCTACATGCTAGGCATTGACCTCACCTCTTTATATGGATTCTTATTTAATCTTACCACCACTATGAGGTAGAGGTTAATACCCCCATTTTATAGAGATTGAAATTTGGGCTTATAAGAAGGTAAACCCAGAATTGACAAAGTTAGAAAGGTAATGAGTGAGAGTCAAGTTCAAACCCTGGTAGTTAGATTTCAGGGCCCTTGCCAGCAACCTGAATGTTACTGTGATTCCTCCCTGTCTCTCCCTCCCTCTCCTACCCCCTACACATCCAATCAAGTAGCAACTCCTTTCTCTTGTCGCCTGTCAACCCAGATCGTTTCCTCTTCATTGTCAGACCATTTGTTGTTATCATTGCTTCTCCCTAGTCCAGTTACTGTCATCTCTTGCCTGGATTATAGCAAAAGTCGTCTAACTCGTATCGCAGTCTCCTGTTTCCTGTTTTATCTCATTCCAGTCTTAAAGAGATCGTAAATTCTGATTCTGCTCCTTTCTTGCCTTAAAACCCGTCAATGGTTTCTCATTGCCGTCAGGATAAAGTCTTAATGTCTTCATATGGTTTTTTTGTTTTTTAATTTTATTTGTTTATTTATTTTTTCCCCCAAAGCCCCAGTAGATAGTTGTATGTCATAGTTGCACATCCTTCTAGTTGCTGTATGTGGGACGCGGCCTCAGCATGGCCGGAGAAGCGGTGCGTCGGTGCGCGCCCGGGATCCGAACCCGGGCCGCCAGCAGCGGAGCGCGCGCACTTAACCGCTAAGCCACAGAGCCCCATATGGTTTTACATATGAGCTTATTTCTTAATCACTGTCATCTTGCACACTTAATATTTGAGCCATACCAAACTGCCTACGGCTTCCATCACACTCTTGCTGCAAGGCTTCCGTTAATCCCTCTCTTTCAAACTTCTCCCTTCTTAGTTTGACTGACTTCTCTTCATCCTTCAGATCCCAACTTAAATGTCATTTCTGGTAAGCTTTCACTAAGTTAAGTGTACCTAGTATGTGTTTCCAAGTACCCTATAGTTCCCTATCCCTATAGTTCCCTTATCCCACTTTATTATTACTTATCACTTATTTATTGTTGTGCTTTCCCTGCTGGGTTAGAATCTCCATGAAAGCAGAGACCATGTTGAATTCAGTTGCCCTTATATCCCCATGGCTAGTACCGTGCCTGTTCATGAGAGTGCTGCCTATTTGTTGAATATACTAAGGAATGTTCTGTGAAACTAGACAGTTGGAAACCTAAAGATTAGTTTAGAATTTCAATTAAAGTTTATGACTTACACTAATGGAAAAAGAAAAATGCAGCTGCTCTGGTAACTAATTCTATATTATAACCCAAAACTATTAATTTTGTCTAGGGATATCTCTAAGTTTGCTATGCATTATATAATAGAAGAAATAGATGAAGACACATCAATGGAAGACTTGCAGAAAATGATGGTTGTGGCTCTTATATACAGATTATTAGTTTGTTTCTATGAGGTAAGCTACTGACTTCAGCAAATATTAATATTTAACAATCTAATTTTAGATTATCAGCCCTAAGACCAAAAAAAAGGAAATTTATAATCATGTATTTGTCAAATGTCTCTTTCTATTTTTTCCAAATTTTCTTTAATATAATACTTTTCAAGTTAAGAAAAAAACAACTTTGTGAATGGAGACATTTTATAGTTTCTTTGTAATATATTTGTCTTGTGGTCGAAAAATATACTTATAAGTTGGTTGTGGAACTTGAAATGTATTTTTCCATAGAAACAACTTGCTAAAAAATGTAATGGGTCATAGAGAAATATTACAGTAGAAATCTTGTGGAATTGAAGATGTTAGACCTGCAGAAATGCATTAAGAGGTTAACCATTTAGTATTCTGTGAAATTCTTTCAACTTGAAATTTTTAAAACATAAATGATATGGCAGAAAATTTTAAATTGGTATAGTTTTAAAATTGGTATAGTTGAGCCAGTAAATTATTTTTAAATTATCCTTTTTTCTTTAGATAATTTGCATTTGGGGAGCAGGTGGAGCTACCCCAGGGAAGTTCCTGCTAGGGCTTCGAGTTGTGACATGTGATACATCAGTGCTTATTGCACCAAGTCGGGTTTTAGTGATTCCTTCCTCAAATGTTAGCATTACAACGTAAGTTCTTTTCTTAGCTTAATCTATGTACTTATGAAAATAATAAATTTTAAGTGTAGTAATATAATTCATAAGTTATACCATTTGATATAGTATTTTCTTCATGACATATAGTAGGCTTACATTTATTAAGTTTAAAACAAAGTTTATGAGTGTTTTTCAGTTACATTATATGATTGTAGACCCCTCTTCAGTATACATTTACAAGATAATCATTTTATGAAATATAAGTCACAATAATGAGGATGATTTGGGTGTTGATGCTATCTGTATCAGTTCTCCATGCCTAGCTTTATTCTCTAGGCTTGTGGATATGGGGTTAGTTACTGATCTGTCTTGAGCCTCCATTTGTGCTACCTGTCGTTATCCCCTCTTGAACAGGTTTTGACAGCTATGCATGCATCTTGCTCCTGCTCTTAAGTGATGGAACTTGTAATACTCCCAGTACACATGGCTAGCTGTTGGCATCTGGCTCTGGGGGGAGGTACAGATAGTGACAGTGGAAGTTGTAGAGGTGAATAGGTGGTAATCAGTTGAGCAATACAAGATACTGGCTGGAACTGCTGCCAGATTCAGAGCTGGATTGTTATATAAAGAAATATGAACAAGAGACTCCAGAAGAAGCCTTAATTTTGCTGACATCTTCAAAATTTCCTTACAATTTGGTGATTATTATAATCTTGGCTACAGCTTTTAATGAGAGAGTCAATAATGGCTAACGTTTGTTGAGCACCTCTTATATGCCAAGCACTGTTGAAAACACTGCATATGTATTAACTAATTTAATCCTAGCAACCTGAAAGACAGATACTATAGGTACTATTATCCCCTTTTTACAGATGTGGAATACAACTAATAATTGGTAGAAAATGGATCTGAAACCAACTAGTCTGGCTTCCGAGCCCACACTCTTAGTCACTGGGCTTTTCTATAGCCTTTCAGTGCACTAAAAGGCAGAAATCTAACATTAGTAGGATAATTCTCCATTCTGAGCTATTGTTGAAAGCTTTTTAAAGCTTCCCTTAATCACAGGATCCCGCAAAGAAAGAAGAGAGCTGATAAAAGAATACACAGTAATTTAAAATGCTAGTACTTCACAGAAGGTAGAAGCAAGACAAGCATACTGAGTTTAGAAGATAATAATCACACAATAATGAGTGACTGTAGAAAAGGTAAGTAAAGGGAAATACTAGAAAATACTGTAAACTTTTAGTTCACATTCTAAGACATTTATTACTGCTTTCATGTGAAAGGTCTCAAGTCTTTAACTTTTACGTTGATGAAGTCTTGAGAACTAGCCCAGGTGGTTTGATCATAATATACTACTACTTGAAAGTAACTCAGGTATCAAAGATAAAAATTCTCTCAGCTGTACTTTGAATATGTCTTAAATACATATACTTGATAGAATACTATTAATCTCTATGTGGTTGGTAGACAACTTACCTGATATTTTTGGCTTTAATTTTTTAGGTCCACTATACGAGCTTTGATCAAGAATTTTTCTATTGCTTCTTTTTTCCCTGCTTTCATCACACTGCTGTTTTTTCAGCATAATCGAACAGCCTATGACATTGTAGCAGGAACCATTGTGGTAAAAAGAAATGGGGTCAGATGATGCCCAGAAAAGCCTGAATTCCATACTCGGGAATAATGACAAGACTAAATTATGTATCAAGGCCATCAGTATCCCTGGGTTACATTAATTGATGATTTAGAAATTAAAGGAGTCACTCCAGTGTGATGCAGGTGACTATTCTGAAAGTATTGATTTTACTTGAATGCCAAAGAACTTTTTCAGAAGAAAAATCTGTTAAATTCAAGTGTTAAAATTTTTAGATCAAAAAGAAAGCAAGTGGTTTCATAATCAATGGACCGTACACTTTGTAAGATCTAAGGCATTAGAATTTGCTGAAAGCGTTTTCAGCTTTGAAATCTCCAAATGAAACTTCAAAAATTTATTTTGGTTTATCCCAAAATAATGGAAAATGTCCAGTTGTGTTTTGTAAACACATTATTGATCTTTTAGTTAACACTTCTTGGGGAAATTGTCTTTGCTTTTTGTGGGGAGGGAGTGGGGACACAAATTTGATAATCCACGTATCTCCCATCCCAGGAGGTGGTGAGTTAGCTGCAAGAGAAAGGGGAAAGTGAGGCAGTTCTCTTACCTGAAGTTGTAAAATCTATACTGCAGTTTACTGTGGGAATGATGTAACTTTACAACTATTCTTAATACTTAAACATGTACTTTGGGGCAAGTTTTGCATGATGATGAAAAAGTATTAAGTCATATTGCTATATTATCATTGATTTCTTAAAGAAAAGGTAAGTTAGTGATTGCTTTTAATGGGGGGAAGAAGTAAATTTTTACTGTAAATTTAACTTAAAATTCATGTGCAAGTGTTTCCAGTGCCCAAAAGCAAACTATAAATATGTGGGGAAAAATTAACTTCCATCAAACTGTTGCATATTTACTGTAAAACAATATTCCCAGTATGTGTGCAGCATGAAGAAAGTATTAGTGCTTTTCAGTATTCTGAATATAACTTCTCTTTATTCACATACTAGTTTCCTTTTATATTTTATATAGTTCCATAACTTTTGAAACATCAAGGAGTTAAATAATTTTAGTATTTCATGATTAAATACTAGTAGCCTGTGAAATATTAGCAATTTTCCCATTATGGACTGTTTTCTGTATAACAAGGAAGAGTAGCATTTCCAGACATTATTCTAAGTTCTTTGGTTCTGTGCGCCAAAAGCTCATTTTGGGCCTGCCAAGGATAATGTTTTGAGGGAAGTTTTGAGCAAAGTAACACTGTGTATTGCCATTTTAATTTATTCTTCTATTGAAGCAAAAGTTGTGGAGTTTTAAGTATGTGTGTGTGCTTTTGTTAGGTGGCCCAGTGAGCTGTGTTGAGATATACTGAACTAAAAGTTTTGTTTCTTTTGAAACAAAGAAACAATATCTCTGATGTCGTTTTCCCAAAAAACACTAAACTCTTTTGGACAGTTGATAATTAGATTGCTTAAAGGATCAATCTAGGCTTTATTTTTGGTATTAAGAGCAAATGCAAGACACGTCCATTATCACTGTATCAATTGTTAAAGTGGGTTTTTCTTTGATATTAACCACTGTGAAAATATTCACATTTGATGTTTATAAAAACCTTAACAGTATCCTTATTAATACCCTTTTATTGTAAAATTTCATACACCATGTTTTTCAAAATAACTTTATATTAAATCCAACATCACAGAAAGCCTTTTAGTTAAGTGTATCAAAATACTAAACAGATCATTCACTTGTAGCCTCTGGGAAGATATTTAAAGTATTATGGCCCTTCATAGTAAAAAACCAAACCAAACCAAACCAAACCCTAATTTTTTTTTTTAAATAAATGTTACATAAACTTACCACTTAGTACCATGCACATTAGTATTGGTGTATACACTACTTTTGCCAGTGATTGGGAATTCAGGTTGAAATGTCCTTCAGTCATGTAGCTCTGGAATACATCTTTAATGTGTAATTTCTTTTCAGATAATTGGATGGTTTGCCATCTAGGCTATTTTTATTAATAGAGTAAAACAAAAACAAGTAATCCAGTTGAATTTGTTATACTTAAAATATCGTACATTTATTTGCTATACACGAGTCATTCGGATTAATATCTATGTAGGTTCATTTAGATTCATCTCAAGATTCAAGTTATACTGTATAGCCCTATCAAATAAATAGAAATATTACTTTGTCTGCCTTTACCACAAAATCCAAGTCTGTTTCTATTTATGATTTCAGCACAGAAAGAGATTTTGGTTCCAAATTGTTGGAAAAAATGACAATGGGGAAGAAGGGGGGAGCCACATTTTTTTCTCTTGGGGTTGAGGGGGATGGAGCCTCCTTCTTTTTAATACTTTTCTATTTTAATAGAAAACTATTAAGTTCTCTATTGTCAAAGTCAAAGTATAATTCTCATGCAGAAGCTCTAACCTAAAAAGGCAAAAAGAAAGTTGTCTTCCTAGTACAAACATTATTCGTCACTTTTACAAGATAAGTAATAAGGGAACAAAAATTAGGAGTCAAGCTGAGTGAGAATACTGTTTCAATGAACATGCCCTAAATAAAACCACAGAACAGGCAGTTAACTTAGGCATCTAAAAAATCTCAGTACCCATTACTAAAAGTAGCCCGAGTGGCTAGTTCACCTTGAGAAATCTTGACATACTGACTGATGTGCATGCTGGGCCTAGGTAGCTAAGTGTGAGTGACGGAAAGCCTTGCTTTTAGACTAACGTGTGACTACAGAAATAAAGCTAACGGTTTTTTGGATAGTAAGCCTTTACTTTAAAATAATGCCCACCTGTTACTTGTACAGCACTGGTTCAAAAGTTACTTCTTTCTACCTGAACATTTACCTTCCAGTTTCACCCAGATTATTTTGGATTGAAAAAAAAAAAATGCATTATATTTGAGGGCCACTTTGTCTAAATTAAAGATTTTATTTATTTAATTTTTTCCCCCCAAAGCCCCAGTAGATAGTTGTATGTCATAGCTGCACATCCTTCTAGTTGCTGTATGTGGGACTCGGCCTCAGGATGGACGGAGAAGTGGTGCCTCGATGCGCACCCGGGATCCGAACCCGGGCCATCAGCATTGCAGTGCGCGCCCTTAACCACCAAGCCACAGGGCCGGCCCTACTTTGTCTAAATTATAAAAATGAGTCTTCAGTGTTTTTTGTTTCAAATGCTAGTAAAAATTGTTTTCACTCTACTTTAAAAGAAAGATTTGTTCCATTAAGCATCTTGTTTGGGTGCTTCACTTATACATAAGTATTTTCAGCAAAAGAAAGGTAGGAGGGAGTTGAAAATTAATTTAAACCACTTGCTACTTGGGAATAAAGGGCTTTTTGAGGGGCATGGATGTATTAAATATTTTCATTCCTACACTTATCCCTATTAAAACAGGCTTTTGTTTATTTTAAAGAATATGCCTAGGGGCCGGCCTGGTGGCGCAAGCGGTTAAGTGCGCACGCTCCTCTGTGGCGGCGACCCAGGGTTTGCCGGTTCGGATCCCGGGCATGCACCGATGCACCCCTTGGCAAGCCATGCTGTGGCAGCGTCCCATATAAAGTGGAGGAAGATGGGCGTGGATGTTAGCCCACGGCCAGTCTTCCTCAGCAAAGAGGATTGGCAGATGTTAGCTCAGGGCCCATCTTCCTCAAAAAAAAAAAAAAAAAAAAGGATAAAGAATATGCCTAAATAACAGCAGTATTCCTAAAATCTGAGAAGTGTCATTTCAATTACCATTCCCCATCCCCCATACCAAAGGCCAAAATACAATATGTGCTTGCCTGGGTAAAGTTCTTATTTCAAAATGTGTGTCTCAGTAGGGCTTACCCACAAACAGTATCTGATGGCCTACAGATAAATGAAATTCAGCATTCTATTTTTAATAATTTCTATGCCACCAATTTGTATTCTTTGTCTCAATAAATACCTGGTCACCAACGCTTTTGTGTTTTACCTGTTTCTTTGAGAAGGTTTGCTCTAGAATCTCCTACTTAAGGGTGACCTTGCTTCCAAATACAGCTTCTCCAGCATTCTCTGCCTTCAGGAGAATGGCAACAGGAGTCAACTAGAATGCTTTCAGAAATAGAGGTCTATCAAAAAAAAAAATCATCCACTTCCTGGGATATATTCTTTTAGCAGGTCACTCAAAAGTTACCCACAGATGACTAAGCATAATGTTAAACTAATCCTGTCCTTTCCTTAAAGTTGGTAACCATCCCAACCACCATGTAAGATATTAAGGACCCACATACATACAGATGATGATCCAGAAGTGCCAAGTTTCATAGCTAGTAAATGACTGAGCTGGGCAATTTAAACCTAGTTCTCATCTATACAAGCATTTCCTAGTCTAACGTTTATGAACAAATCTAGAGAGAAAGGGGGACAGGATATAAAAAAGGTTCCTCAAGAAGGACAAAGATAATACAGGATAAACTTAAATGTAGCTAAACTATGGCCTGGTTTAAGTTCTGTAGGCAATGTGCTGTTAGGAGCCCAGCCACAAACTACACATTCTGGAACTACAGTGGGCTTCTGAGATAAGTTTATAAATGCCCCATATTACAAGGAAATGAAGGCTCTGAGACGGTTATACAGCTGGTGTGTGTAGCTAGACCCAACATACCCATTTTCTCAATTTTACTATACCAAATTTGTTAGTTTCTATTTATTAAACAGAGGCTAACCTTTGTAAAATTTCCATTGAGTTTCAAACTTTAAACAGGCCTAGGAAATGACAAACTAATACAATTAAAGCAAACACAAGTTCTTCACAGGCTAAACCAGGAAGTTGATGGCCTGGTTACAAATTATTAAAATTAGTCCAACACTTATTTCAAATAATAAAATCCTAATTACATGAACAATTTCAGGAGAGCATTTGTAACAAATATTAATAAACAGCTCACCTTTTCCAGTTGTTTGTTTGAATTGTACTTTTTTTTCCTTAATGCCTGAAATTGTTAATTACTCAAAACAACATAGCAAAGTGGCATGCCTGGACTTCATTCGTCAGAAGTCTTCCAGGTGCTTATTTAATGATACAGGTTTTTGGACCCTATCCAGACCCAGTGATTGAATGTATCTCTGGTGAAGAGGGCCTAGATTATACATTTGACACACCCCACCAAGTTATATTGATGTACATTCAGTGAGAACAACTGACACTTTTGTCAATCAACCACATTATATAAGCATACCTGATTATTCAGTCAATCTTGCTGCATATGGCTTTCCTCCCTTCAGAGATTATTTTCAATTAAAAACAATTCCTT